AAATGTTTTGAGAATGATGAGGGCAATGGATGTGCAGATGCGCTTTGCACAGTTGATGTATGTATGGATTGTGATAAGAGTTGTATGAGTCCCTAATAAAATGATTAGAAAAAAATAAAATAAAATGATTTTTTTAAATGTGAAGTCTATCAACCTTAAAGCCTTGTTCAATTGCATTCAAATACCTTATGAACTGCTATTTTAAGCACATTTGCCCATTATAAACAAACATAAAGTATACTAAACAAACTAAATAAGCACTTGAACTTCTAGTATACGTTAGGCGTGTGGATTCAATGCTGAACATAGTCCACGTGGAGAGAATAACTGTTACGACTAAGGTTGATAGGGTTGATGTTGTGTAACATTTCCTTGGCCGTGCTAAAATTCATTTAGGATCAGAAACCTCTGAAAAATTTCTGGGATGATTATATAATTACTTTTTGAAAAAATATTTTTATAGTTTTTAAAAGATCATTTATTTTTTAAAAGATCGTTTCAATTGTATGTGGAAAAGATAAAAGACTAGAAAAGCCAAAAATTCAACGAGGCTACTAATTTTGGAATAGGCTATCGGAGACATGACTGAAGCTTCAATTAGGGGATTAGAATAGTGACAGAGATAAAGAGAGATTTAAAATATATTTAGGAGATAAAATAGAATTTGGTAATGGGTGAATTTGGAGGATTATGGAGTGAGATGGTGGTATCCATAATTATTATACGATTTATAACTTGTAAAGTAAGAAGCACTATATGTAGTGGGGCTTTTGTTTTGGAGAAGCACATGAGTCTGTGTGTTTTTAGATTTATGTGACATGCTTAGAAAAGATGATTTTGTCTAAGAAAGTGTATGAAAAGCTATAGACAAATTCTAGATGTTTTTCATTCAAGCATGATCACAGGAAAACAATTTTTAAAAAAATAAATCTTTTAAAAAATGAAAGCTACTAATAGCATCTGTGGTCCAAAAATTTTAAGTAGTATTCTATCAGTATTACCCTAGTTGCTAAAAACAAAAATACTAGTCCCATAAAACCACAAAAACATTAGCTTAAACAGGTATTAATAAGGCAAGCTGAGGGTGGGGTGGAAAGGGGGAACCACATATAGGGATTTACATATAACGCCCAACCTGGGGGATAGACAACAGAAAAGTGGGTGAAGGGAGACGTCATACAGAATAAGATATGACAGAATAATAATTTATAAATTATCAAGGGTTCATGAGGGAGAGGGGAGCGGGGAGGGAGGGAGGTAAATGAGAAGCTGAAGCCAAGGGCTTA